TCTTAGCAGTGATAATTTAGCAGTTTACAGTAGCTAGAACTTAGCGAGTGGATTACTTACTTTCTGGCTGCCGAGGCGGTGGAGGTTTACGTGTGGCCCAATTAGTACGAATTGCTCTCCCACTCAACCACTGTCCATTCATTCCCTGTATGGCATTCTCTGCATCCTGCAAAAACAAAACAGCGCCCTCAATCTACTTTTCTATACTTCATTAGCTATGTGTCTGCTGTGAAGTAACGAGTGACAAGACAGCAAACGATCAAGGTGAATGATTTAATTTACTATCAGTATTTGCTTTTGTTCTAGATTTTTTGAACAACAGGTTTAAACTATAATATATAATTTGGGCAGTAGTCACCAAAGAAATCACAAAGTGTATAATTAAGACATCGAGTCAGTGTAGATAATATGAATACACTCTGTGGTTATCTAATTGAACCATAATTAACCATAATGTCAAAAATACCATTGGTTTCTCTAAACAAATTGTTATTGTATAGTAAAAAAAATGCATGTACATCAGTATGTCATTATTTGTTGAAAAATAAAATAAAATAGAGATGATTATATTGTGTGTTACGACATCTGTTTTATAGGAAAATCCTATCAACATAAACAGCGCCCTCTTGAGACAAGTCATTATATGGGTTGGTTTTTCCTTTATGATACAGACAATAACAATAATAATTTGAAATAACATTTGAATCAATATAATTAGACACTGAAAACAAAGTGAATGAAAGAATATGCTGGACTTAATACTCTTATAACTATACTAATATTAATCAGAAAAACAATATTCAACTGTATAGAAACTAGATGGGTATCTAGCATGATCTGTCCTCGGGGCGATTCACCCACCTGGTTCCAATGTACATTTAAATCTGCAAAACCTCATTCTTTGATAATAAAAAAAGGCTATAAAATAGTGATAAATTTATCAATATGATATACAGTGATATTAAATTTTCTTGCTAAAGTACATACAAACAGCCTGCCATGATCATTAATGGTTTGTAACGATGGCAGCAAACAATGAACAAGTCTATTTCACAAGATCCCTAGAAGAAAAACATGAAATAAGTTTGCATTCAATTATCATCACTTACCACTTTATTGAGAAAAGAAACAAAGCCATATCCTTTAGATTTGTTTGTTTGTAAGTCCTTAACTACACGAGCGTCTCTGCAAGGCAAAGAAAATCAAATCAATCAATTACTAATTTTGACGTTGGTAAAATCAAATGTATGAAACGAACACATTAAAATGAAACCGGGCTAGAATTTTTTTTTTATTACACATAATGTTGCAATGACACGTAATGCATTGAGTTGTAAACATGCATGTAAGGAAATGGCAAAATATTTCTATCTTGTACTCCTCAAAGTCTCAAACACACCAAAAAACATAAATGCAATATTGAGAAATACAAGCTGTTTCCATGGTTACAATATGTTTGTACTAGCATGATGTACAATGCCATTGGTGCTTGACAAGCTGCTCACAATTTATCTTTTTTTTTAATTCACATACATTCATAAGTTAATAGTCATTAACCATCCTTGTGACTCTGTTTGTGTTAGGCATAATAGCTACTACCAATCAAATCAAATGGCATTGTAGATCATATGGTGTGAACAAATAAGTAAATAAGTAAATAAATAAACAAAAAGAAAAGGTATGGAAAGCCAAAACCAAAATAAAACGGCACATTTCATTTATTTGGTTTAGAATACACACAAATTTGTGAGAGTAATTCTGATCTTGAAATCGAAAATCAACGATCTGAAGCATGCGATCATGGTAAATAGGAATAGGAATCACAAATTCGGAAAAGCAAAAACAGGAAACAACCTGCCCCCACACAACAATCCATGATTTTTTTAATTTTTTCGCAGAAAATTGACATTTTGTAGCGAATTTCACAACCTAATAGAGCCTAGTATTAGTTTAATCTGAATTAGTTTTCAGTTGGGATTTCTTGTTCCTGTCCCTCACTCTAAATCAGTACAAGCACCACCATGCAGTTAACATTAATAGCGTGGAAGTCTCCCTGTCAGTTTTCACCCTACACCAATAACACACAAATAAACTACTTCATGCAAACAGAAAAACCAGAATCAGTAATTAGTAATAATGTTAGAATTTGTTCTCATAAATAACAATTGCTATACCCTTAGCTAAATGCAAAGAAATTTCTCCTAAAGTTAGTAGTCTAATTTCAAACAAGGAAACATGGGAAGGGTGTTCTTGTGCCGATTAAGAGGGGGAGGGGAAGGGGATGGGGGTGCCTGGCTGGCCTAGACAAGAGTGAGATACTACTAAAACTGTATTCATGCTTTCAGAATAAAGTACATGTAGAATTTTAAATATGATATTTAATAAATATGCAAAAATGTGAAAAACTAACAAATATCTAGTTGGCGGATATTTAAACAGCTAGCATAAATGGAAATATTGAAAACATCTAAAGACACACGCCAAGACCCAAATAGCCACTACATATACGATTATATGAAAAGTAGAATAAAAATATAAGGTAGGAAACGGCATACATAGCCTGCAATTCATTGAATGCACATTTTATTTGTTGGTAGTAGTCAGATTATACATTCTTTGTCATGGGGTCCAACTTGGTCGGACAGATATAGATCGACTGGCAATCAAACGCCGCTGAAAATCGTAGAAATTGATAAAAAAGAAACTCAGAAAGTTTCGGTATTGAAGAGGAAGGAAAATTAACGATTCAAAAAAAACTTAAAAATAAAGTATAAATTGGTGAGAGAAGTAAACAAACAAGTGAAATAAACGTGATATATAGAATATGTATATTGAATGTGAAATGGGAACAGCTAACGCACAAACGTCCAATACGATGGAATGAAAACAACTCGTTGGGTTGCAATTAATGTTATGATTCTAGTTGAATAAGTGTCAACAAATTATACATACTAACTTTAGGAGAAATCAAACATTTAAAAAGAGTGAACATCTTTGACCTTTTCTGATTTCTCTGCAGAAATAGATTATTTTAAAGGATTCATTCGCACGGTGACGAAGAAATTGGTATCACCGAGAACAACCAGTGCCAGTCACTGTATGCAAATTAGCAGCAAGTATTTCCTCAGACAGGAAATGTAGAAATAGAATACTTGATTAGACTTGTGAATAATGTGCGTTTCACATTGACAACATGTAAAAGAAAACATTGTCATCAAGACATTGCCAATTTCAACCATCAAAATAAGCACAAATGACTTGCGCAACAATTGAAATACTGAAAAGGTCAAAAAGGCATGGAGCAAAGATAAATGGCTAAAGTGTAGATTAACAAATAATAAAAACAATATTAAAATGAAGTTACAAATAAATGGAATAAATAAATTTAATAAGTTGAAGGAAAAGAAATTCTCTCTCAATACGAGAAAGCATGAAGACAATTGACCCATTCACTGACATCAACAAATTTGCATACACAAATCCATCTTTTTGTAGCAATTATCTACAATGACAGTAAAGAAAATGGTTTTTTTTTAATTTTAATTGAAAATGGTCGTGAATAGGGTCAATTATGATAATGATGGAATAATTAAAAAAGTAAAAAACACACACACAAAAAAAACATGGAGGTTAAAGAGGGAAAGTACTTACGAGATTTGTCCAAATGGTGCAAATGCTGCTTTCAAATCTGGCGTGTCAACTTCACTAGACAAGTCCCCCACAAACACATGGTGATGATCTGACAAACATAAAGAAACAAAACATAAACACAAATGTTATGCAATCATCAGACTATGGGTTTCAAAAAAAATAAACAAAAAATGCACACAATGTAAATATAGTTCCATTGATTTGATGGCCATTCAAGGCCACTGTAACCTTAGGAAGAAGGATATGCAAATGAGTACATTAATATGCAAACAAGTACCTTTTTTGTAGTTAAATTACAAATATTTAATGGCTTTTTGAGCATATTACACATTAAATTTGTGTGAAATGTTATGTAAACTTGCTGGTTTTTTTAAAACCTCATTTAATGATAAAAACATGATCAAATAGAATGTTGGATGTTAATAACATTCACCAAGGAAACCATGTAAGCAATCTGTTCTTTGTAAATTTTTGATTCCACACAACATTAAAATCCAAAGTGCTTGTAATACTGATGTAAAAGCATTTAGTTGCTAGGGAAACGAACCAAACTAATTAGAAGGGTCTTCGATGTTGGATCTACTCTGCAGCATTAGTTGTTTAATGATTTGTCGATTTATTAGAATAGTGTTTTGCCCTGGGGACACTGACAACCTGTATGCACACAATAGCAGTGTAGGAGAGGTAACGAAAACGACAGTCATGAAAAAAAAAATTGGGAACATTTGGAAATGAAGAGTAATATAATGTAGGCGACACAGACATGATTCGTTCCCATAGCAACAACATCATAGGAGTCAACCCATGATTAGTGATTTACTAAAACAGTGAAATTAGAAGTGAAATTGGCTGGAACATTTTATTCTAATAGAAACTGTAATTTGAAGGCAACCAACAAGAGAAAATGTTTTACCATATGGCAGAGCATGTAATGGGACACGTATATCAAACTGACAAAGGTTTGGGTCAACAAGAAAATTAATCACAAAGTAAATATTAAAATATTGTTAAATATTGGTTGAGGTTTTTCTAAAGTTGGGGTTGAGAGGCCTTTTGTTAGGAGCAAAATAATTAAACAGTTTTGTCTTTCCTGCATGGTAGACCTTATTTGTAGCAGATGGTTCAGTGAACACGTGCTAAGGCAAAGCTTATCCAAACAACTGCTGAACGCAGTAATGCATAATGTTTTAGGATTGTACATTTCTATTCTTTAGAAGAAGAGTTTGTTTAACTGAGGTGATTTGCATATGAATTTAACTTCAGAAGCAATTTATCAGTACAACTCTGTAGACAATATTTATTCCCCGAAGTTAAAATAAAAAGAATGTTCATATAGGAATTGTAAGCAGGACAGGGGGAGGGGTTACATTTAATGCTAGGTTGACATTAAAATTATCAGAACAATAAAGTTGATGACATTAAAATATAGTTTTTTTAACCATTTGATTGCCAAAGCCAATTTCTGGCGATTAGTAGAGTTCATGTCATTATCTGGCTTTTTAAACTGTTTAACACAATGTTAAAAACTATTTTTTTTTTAAATTGTTGTTACTATGATAAAACTGATTTCTGTATTTATATTTTATTATTTTATATTTGGTTGACTTAAGACAAGTGTAGCAGACAACTCGCTAATTCTATGAATGTTATAGCATTTCTAGAAAGTAGTGATACAGGGGTAAAACTTGTATGCAATAGAGAGCTGCAAAATGCAATGAAATTAATTATAAGCAATACATTGAGTTGGTTGCAAAAGCAGCCTATAATATTCATATGTATTACCATGGTTACGAAAGGTTCTTTCATGATAAATGCTTTCATGAAATATGCTTTAATAGAGCAAATATGGTGACTATTATTTTTATTCAGTGTTTGTGTTTCACTAGTAGTACATTTAACAGCTTTTATGTACCACAATTTAATGCAATTATAAAGAAGTTCAGTTCCTATCATTTTTTTAACACTTAAATTGCAGAAATGGGTGACAATGCAATTGTCAGTAAAATCCAGAAACCTGGATAGCTGAATTTTGTTGTCATAAAAGTTACTGAAAAAAATGTATTGTTCAAAAGGCTGATATGGATAACCGAGTTTGAAGCAGATAACTACAAATGGTAACTTTTCGAAGCAAGAAATGTCATGATTTCAAAAAGACATAATTTTGCAAAGTCATTGTTGACCCCAACCCCCCAACATGGAAAGAAAAAAAACATTTCTGAAATTTCCCAGTGTTAAAAAAGCAGAATGACTAAATGTTATGAACAGCCCCCTCAAGTTCTGAAAACAGAAATAACAATCAGCAATTGCTGAATTAAATTAAATTCTGGGAAAAAAATCTTTAAATGCTACAAAATTGTTGTCTTTCTTCTAGAGTCAAGTAGATACAAGTATTAACCAATTTTTGACATTTTCATACTCAGTTTTTCAATACCCTTCAACATAGGAAACAAAGTCCTTGACCTGTTTTCACCACTTGAACCTTTGTACCGAGTATAGCGCCAAAATGAGCCATGCGTATTGGTTGAAAACTGTCGATAAGCGTAAACCATACCACAGATTCAGAGAAGAATAACTGCACTGATGATAAATAAATATGTCATGCATGTGTCAATGCCAGACAGTCATTTACTTAGATATCTTAAATATTGGAAGCCT